AAACTAACTAAAGAAGAAAATCAAATAGACGTAAAGTTCTTACCTAACATCGGTAAATATGTAAAGCTAGAGAACCCTTCAGCACATAATAATATTAAGGATGCAGCAGAAGAAAAGAATTCTGAGGCTAATGAAGTAATAAATAAAAGTAAATCAGTAACTTTAAGTTGCATAAAAGAAAATGTAAGTTTTAGTACAGAGCAAAATTATAATGCAACTTGTATAGCTCACACAAAGGTGAAAACTGACATAGTTATTTCTATTTTAGAATCAAATGTGAAGCACTTTTTAAATGTTGATATCTACAAACCAGATAACTCTACTTTATGTGGTTATAAAAGAGATCTGGACATAAATTTTCCTACAGAAAAAGGGACAGTGTCTAATGAGAGCTCTAAACCAGATGTTACAGGAAATTTCCTTATGGACCCATTAAATCTAACTCTGATAACAAGCAAAAAGTGTACCAGTATTCCTCAATTATTATCACCTGCTACAGTGACAGATAGTGAGGGAGAATCTTCCCAATCTTACTTGGATAAACAGAGAATTACTGCTGTAAATTCTGTTGTAGCATCCACCAGTGTATCACACTGTCAGCAAGGATGTGGTGCAGAGGAGCTTCTACAGACAGAACAATGCTCTTCAAATAACTGCTTTCACATTGACAGGAATGAAATAAATGTTACTGAGAATTCCGAGTTGGGTCTTCCATCAATAACTGAAGAAAGTATGAGTTATGGGAAAAATACAATGGCACTATTTCCCAATGATAGTTCTTTGCCCTTAAAAGATAATATAAAGAGTTCTTCAAAAAAATGGATAGCAAAGAAAGACATTCAGGACAGAAAAATGTGGGAAGTTAAACAAGCAGAAAAAGCAAAAGATTCAAATCACAAAAAAAGCACCTCTGAAGGATCAGCTAAGACTGACAACAAAAGTGAAAAGTTTTTAGAAGACTCCTACTTAAGTGAGAAAACAGTTAAAAACAGTTTGATCGATTCTCATCTAAGCATTAAGAATACTACTGAGGTAGTCTCTTTGAATAACACAGTTTCTAATAAATTTAACAAAAGAGAAAAAGAGGGGAAATTTAAAGTTAGTAAAGACTCTCAATCTGACTGTACGTTACATTCAGAAACAGCCTATAATTCCAGACCAGGCATTGTAGGGATGAATCGTGTGCCTATTTCACATGCTCACTCTGAAATCTCCAAAGTCACTACTCAGAAGCAGCCTACATCATACATGAATGAATTAAAAGAAAAACATTGCTCAGCTAATCCTTCGGCTCTCATAGCTAGTAGGCTGGCTCAAATTTTGAGGAGGGCAGATGAAGCATCATCATTGCAGATTCTGCAAGAAGAAACTAAGGTTTGTCAAAATATTCTTCCTTTATTTGTTGAAGCTTTTGAAAGAAAGCAAGAATGTTCACTTGAACAAATCTTGATTTCAAGAGAGCTATTGGTAGAACAAAAACTGTGGAATAATTACAAACACAAATTAAAACCATGTGCTCTTGACTCCTTGGTGGAACTCCAAATGGTGATGGAAACTATTCAATTCATTGAAAACAAAAAAAGGCTCTTAGGAGGTGACCCAACGTTCAGAAGCTTGCTTTGGTACGATGAGACATTGTACAGTGAGCTGCTTGGCGGGCCACGTGGATTTCAACAACAATCCAATTTCTATCCTGCTTTTCAAGGAAGATTGAAATACAATGCTTTCTGTGAGTTGCAGAACTATCATGATCAATTAATTGAATTGTTTGAAGAAACCAAAAGGGGAAAAAATTCATACTACAAATTCTTAAAATACAAACGACAGATTAATGAGTGTGAAGCAATAATGAAGCAGTGTTCTGATTGCTTTGACTTTTCTCTTTCTGTTCCATTTGCCTGTGGAGTTAACTTTGGAGATAGTTTAGGAGACCTAGAAATCTTAAGAAAAAGTACTTTAAAGCTGATCAGTGTGTATGGAGACTCTCCTAAAGTGGATTCATATCCAGAAAAACAAGACCATCTGTGGATTATCATAGAAATGATCACCTCAAAAGTTAATTTTATCAAGAGCAATGAGGCAATAAATATTAAAATATCTCTTTATGGTCTGGAACATATCTTTTTTGATGCTGCAAAAAGTCTTGTTTGGAAAGAAAAGAGACAATGTTTCAGTAGGAAACACTCAGGAAAGAAGAACAAAGAAATGCTACTGAAAATGAATCAATATGCTTTTTCTAAGTTGGAGGAGATAAATGATACATTGTCTAAGGATTTCAGCAGTGAACAAATTCCCAGTATTGGGCTTGAGAATACTCTGATTGCTTCCAGAAAGTCAGATGGTCTAATAAACAAAGCAATGATTAACATAGAAAACTGTATGTTTAACAGTACTTTGCCTTCACACCCAGATATCTGTTGTATTAATGAAATTTTGCATCAGGCTGAACTTGCAGACTTAAAAAAATTACAGGAACTCACTTTGAGATGTACCAATCACTTAGAAATTTTAAAAAAATGGTTTCAGGTGCTGCAAGAAGATAACATAGAAAATATTTTTATCACAGAAGAAAATGTTTTGGATATAAAAAACTACAACTATGGGGCTACAATTTTAAAACCGGAAGCCATAGAAACCTACATTGAAATTGTCATGCTCTCAGAAACAGTTCACTTTCTTAAAAACTCAATGGCAAAGAAACAAGACAAACAGAGGTTTCGAGGTATGCTTTGGTTTGATCTGTCACTTCTTCCTGAGCTGCTTCAATGCCAAGAAAAAATGGCTTCTTTTTCCTTTGTTAAAGACAATTCAACAGATTGCCTTTGGCGAGTGATAGAGAGTGCTATTTCTAAACTTAAGAAAGACCTGGATATTATCTACAAATACAGTGAAGCTGTTAATTGTTCATATGCTCTTCATTTGCTCTCAAGAGAACTTGAAGAACTTTCAGAAATAAAAAACCTTATAAGGAAGTGTGACTATCCTATTTCCACATATATTGACTTTGTGCCGTATATAGCATCCCTTAATTACGGAAGCACTGTAACAGAGTTAGAATACAACTACAATCAGTTTTCTACACTGCTCAAAAATGTAATGGCTNAGATATGAAGATAAAGTGTTCAGAAAATGCTGAATTAACCATTTCCTTTATCCTGTGCCAAATGATACACAACAGAAAGAAGGCTCTACAACTGAAGAGAAAAGAAAAAATGGATATTCCCATAAAACCTACAGAAAGTATCAATAAATCCAGTGCTTGTGTGAAGGTACCCTCAGTTGCAGAGTGGGTAATGAAAAACATTTCTGATTCCTCTAGAAAACGACCTATCACCTACAACAACTATGAAGACTCTCAGGAACAAGAGAAAAACACTACAGTTTCCAGCTGTAAAAAACAAAAGGTAACAAATGTCTTAAAATGAAACCTACCTAAGTATTCTTTTTGAGAATGAGTCTGTTCTTAAAGCAAACACATAGTTGGCAGACTTGTGAAAACTGAGAATAAATATTGCCTCGCAAAATGATTAACTATAATATTGGATTAAACAATTCATATTATATTTTAAATGATATATAAATGATTCTATATATGAGAGAGACCTTGCAGATGTCTACTTTTAAACTTACAAGTTACATAATTTAGAAAACATTTCTTGGAAGGATGTAAATTTTAATAACTTCTTAAGAGATAGTCCAGTGTTATGAATGTGAGTACCAAGTATTTATTGAGAAGTTTCTGTATAACAAGGCTATCATTAATGTGGTGAATATTATAAACTGGCTGGCTAATGGAGCCAGTGTTCTTGGTCATTATCATCTACATGGAAGACTAGGACAGATATATATATTTTTTATATCATTAATGTACAATTACTTGAACAACATTATGGTTATAGACTCCCCCTATTATCAGCTCCCCCCCCCACATACCCCATTATAGTCACTGTAGGACAGATATTTTTAAGTAGACGATTATGAAGAAATTAGAAGTCCTACATAAATATATATTATTTAACATTTTATACAGTATTTATTATGTAGTTGGCACTGTTCTAATGATTACACAGATACTGTTTTTATTCCTTACAAAATTCTTAATGATGTAGGTGCTATCATATTTAAAGATGTGGAAATTGAGACACAGAAAGGTTAAATAGCTTTTCCAAAGTCACAGAGTTAGTAAATGGGAAAACTCATGTATAAAACCAGGCTGTCTAGCTCCAGAGCCCATACTAACAATTGCCCCTACTTTGCCATCAAAGGCTTCTTAAAATTTCTCAAGAATTTATCAGCTCAGGAGTTAAAAGAAACCTATATAAAAAATGAAAAGTGGGATTCTTTCTGAGCTTACTCTAATTGTATTAAGTTAGTTCTAGAGACTAAGAAACCAATCATTTATTGTACTGTATTTATAAGAAAATGCTTAATAAACAACCATTTTATAAACATATCCAAAATATAAGAACACAAGTTATGTGTACTCTATCCATCTCAGGGGCAACATGTAAAAAGGTGGTACAAATATTGAGAAGAAAAGCAAACAAAAAAAGTAGAGAA